AAATAAATTTTCTTTTGAAGCACATTTGTGTTTACTTATCTACGAAATATATTTAATTTTTAAAAGATTCTTGTATATTTACAGTGTACTTTTTGTAACTTTTCATAGAGAATATAACTGAAAATATTTTTGACAGATTGTATAGAAGAAAATCATAATCGATGTGTCATATTGTGACATAACTTCTGATTGTTATGTTTTTTTTTTATCAGAACCGCATTATTTTAAATTTTCGCCTAATTTAGTATTTTTGAGAGTTTGATTAGTCTCATAACTCGAGAACAAATTCGTATAAACCATTCATAATGAACAATTTGCTTTTAAGGAATTCTTTAAAAAAATTCAAATAAATTTGCTGTAAAACAAAATGGGGAAAACTTATTCATTTTTGAAATCTATATGGTATTTCCTATGTCCAGGTCGGCGATGCAACACACGGTATATATTTTTAATATAAGATAGGCAATGAAAAAAATAGTTAAGTTAATGAATTAACACAAAAAATAGAACAAAATTAGTTGTTATTTTTAAATTACTTTTAATATATTTCACACGACTGGACTAATAGTAAAATTACCATAATGCTTATTTGTTTTTTAAATTGTTATTGATTGGCACTTAAAAATAGATTGTTTTTTTTATTATCCACAGTCTAAAGTATTCTGTCGATTCATATTCATGTGCTGAATAGAATAGAAACAAACAACTACTATCGAAAAGCAATTATAAGAATCTTTCCACGGTTCCATATTAGGTTAAGTAATAATTACAGATGACCGCTCTTCAGATAACATTGGTTTTATAGTTGGTAAATGAAATTCAATTATAAAACCACCGCGAAGCTGAATAAATCTTTTGCCAGTTATAGATATGTAATTTTTATTGTTTTATGCATTATTTATGTCTATGTGATGATAAAATTAACATGGATTTTTCCGTGTTATAAAATATACTACCCATCAGTATTGCCAACTTTCCGAAATGTAGTTTCCCACGAAGACGGTCCAAATTTTCCATTTCTTCTAAAAATTTTAACGAATTATTGAAAATCAATTATAGTTTCATCAACAGACTATAGTAAAGAGGGGTCTTTCGCCGTTGTTCATTTAGTCTTTCATCCGACGAACTAGACATTGTATTGCCGTGTTAACGAAAAACCATTTTTTTCCAAAAATAATTCAACGTTATCACTCTTAGCTAATTAGTACCTACATTAAAAAACCTCACCCTCAAAAATAAAATAAATCACTACAAATGCGTTCCTTTCTAACTAAGTCAAACTCACTACCCACTAACTGCAGCTGATTACCTGTGAATTAAAATGGCAGACACAAGTGTCTCTGTCATAGATCTTCTCGTTGGACAGTTTGTTTATAGATGGAATGATGGAAAAAACCTTTAGGGCCGGAGCGTGGGGATCTCCCTCATGCGAGAGGGCCTACCCACTAAAAACTACTCATCTGTGCTCTAAACTCGCCAACCTCGGTAACGCCGAAGACATTTCATCGAGTCTTTTTCGTCCTTCTTTTTTTTCTTCATAATGTTTCTTAACATCCCGCAAATCGCTTCAATATTTTTTTTTGATAATGTCAGAAGGTTTCCGACGTTTACTCTAGTGACCTTCGTATAGTGTATGGTTGGCCGAGTCTGACGCCTCGCAATACCAGCATATAGGAGAGTCAGCATTGCGGATTCTGCCAAAGACTCCATGGCCCGTCATGGCTTGCGTGATATTGTAGTCTGGCATCGCTATAGTACAAAGTTTCTGGCCTGTTTCCAGAAGGAGGTTTTGTTTTTATATATTAGGTTTCTTTCCTCGATCGGTAGACTGATCGGAGGAATCTTAGCAAGACACAGTACCGCTACTGTTGAACATGTGCAGTATGCCGATGCAACCCTGAGTTTTAACTTCCTGTTTATCCTATCTAGCATGTTTTCGTAATGTTTGAAGCTCATGAATCTGTCCCAGATTGGCGATGCGTAGAGTATGGTCGAATGAACTACCGAAGCCAGAAGTCTTTGTTTTTCCGCGTGAGGTCCTCCGATATTGGGAGTGATTCTCGTCAGATATTGGATGATGCCAGTCGTCTTATTCCTGGTTTCTGTGACGTGTGAGGTCATTCGCATGTCCGAGTCGAACCAAACCCCCATGTATTTAACACTCTTATGAGGTTTTATAACTAAAGCTTCATTCAGAACCTCTCAATTGGCGGAATAAATTAGTGGTGTCAATTACACTTTATATTTTTTAGTTTACGATCATTCGCAATGTCTAAAAAATACAATTTAAACTAACAGAATATCCTAGCAACAACTTGCCGTAGTCAGTTGTATCCATAAAGAAAGCGTAATATTTAGCTTATAAAACAATAAACTTCTGATTTCTAACCACAATTTCTCTTGACGGATGATAATCAAAGGCCAAAATGACATTCCTCTCGCAACTTTTGAAGTATAATTAGTGGAAAAGTTAAAAGTTCGTTAACTTTTCCAATAATTGAATATTACTACCACTATTTTTGACGTTGTTAATGCTTGCATTGATATTAGAAGAACAAACTTCTACGCTAATTAAAACCATTGATTTATTCCACTAATTTTGAGGTTCTGAATGAGGCTTAAGTTATTCAGCTAGGTATATGCTTAGACCCTCTGCTCTGCCTTGTCCAACGAGAATGACTAGCTCAGTTTTTTTGAGGCCAGTTTGACGCCCATGCTTACCAACCTATTTTTAATTGCTCGCGCAGCCATCTGAGTCTTTTCTTCACGGATCGTGTAGCAGTTATTAAGAGGGCTAGGTCGTACGCATATTCTAAGATCGTACTGTCCAAGCCTGTATCGGTTCTAAGTATCTGATCGTAAAACATATTCCAGAGGGTGGGTTCGAAGGATCGATCAGGAACTCCGCACGCCATTTTGTGTTTCCCGCCGTGCTCTGAGATGACATGTCTATGTGACAGGAACGACTACACCACGCGTACAAAGTATGGACTAATTCCTTTATGCTCTAGTGATGTAAACATTCTAAGTAATCGTTACAAAGTAACAGTTAGTTTACGAGGACTCGAAGTAACGCTTACCATTTGAATTTAGGACTCGTTCCATTCGTTACTTTTGCGCTCAGCCAATTCGTTACTTTTGCGCTGGCACTGCTGGCAGTAATCGTAATACCTGGAAATGCACGAACCGAGGACTCGAAACTCGATACTGAAATATTCGTTACTTCGACGTAGGTCTAGTTTTTATCAATATTTTTATGTTTAAAGAGTTGACTTGACGCCGGCCGGTGTTTTGGATGGCAAATGTGTGATATTTTTATTACAATTATTATGGATTGGCTCATGCCGACCAAGCGGCGGTCTGTCCTTTTGCCGTTTGTTGTCGCTTTTTATTTAGGTAATTCCGCATGTTTTTTCAATTTTAGTTGAAATAAGTAATATAAGATATTATTTAGGGGTAGAGTGTGTTTTATTTTTTGATTTATAGTTGCTCGGTGGGAGAAGAATAGAATTGTTTATTTAGATTAATATGTCTAAGATATTAATTAAAAATGGATTCACATTATTCACAAAAAATGTTAACATCTGAAAAAGCAGAGCAAATATTTTCCTCTTCAAAAAAGAATATTACTTAAAGAACTTACAATGTAAGAAAATCTACAAAATAAAAATAGTAATTTTTAGTAAACACTGCTTTCTTTAATCCAAAGGACTTTTTTGAAGAGATGAATCCGTCACAGAGAAATAGACATTTTTTAAATATCTTTACATTTTAACAAAAATATATAATTTATTTTTAATTTTACTCTTTAATGTTTGCATAATTATTAATATAAAATACAAAGAGAGAGAGAGAGAGAGAAAAAAATAAAAAAAAATACTTTATATTGTCAAGGTCAAGGTGTATTACTGGTTGCATAACTGCATTACTGCTACATAACCGCAACGTGCATTGAGGAACCCGGCGGATTCGCCAGAAAGTAAAAGAAAATTACAGAATTCTTTAGAACGTTCCAGAAAGACTCGCCAGGGGGTATATAAAGGCCCGCGCTTTGGCAGTTGACAGTTTTTGAAGTTTGAATATACCGCGCTTTAAATTATTACGAATCGGACAATTTGGTGAAGGAATTTTATAAATAGTTAGTTATTGTGTGTATAAAGTGAGAAAATAAATTAGTTATGTATTTTATCGTGAGTTTAAATTAGTGGACCCACGGAATCCGTAACAATATTATACACATATTTTCTTTGTTTGATTTGTTTTCTTTTATTTTTAATTTTATTAATACATAGTGATAACATATTATAATAATATAATACATATTATTAAAAACGTATTATTTAGTACTTAAATACCGAGTATTGAAATTATCCTATTAAGCCCTTACACTAGAAGAAAGTAGAAACCCCTTATAGGTTAAACCGAGCACGCAACGAAGAGCGCCGCGCACAATAAGTAACGAAGTTTCAAGTCAAGCCCAAGTCTTCCAACCTGTACACAAAACGATTATAAAGTAACGATATTAAGTACCAAAGTAACGTGTAACTAAAGTAACGAGTCGTATTACCAAAAGTAACTAGTAGTTACGAGTCCATATAAGTACGAAAGTTTACATCACTAGTAGAAACTTCTAATGCACGTTCAGCCTGGACACTCTGTATAAAAAACAAAGAACTATAATTTTAAACCGGCTATTATACCCTATTGTTATATTAACATTGTTTATCAAATGGCGGCAAAGGTCAATATTATAATTCTGATCTTAAACATCTATGGAATATCGAAGAAAAACATTTTTTCTCATTAGCATAACACTTTTAAAAATACGTTTTTACCGCGCGTCGCAATTGCAAAAGCAAAACAAACCGATTGTTTTCCGTATTTACTGGTGTATCTTTTTTATTTCGAAAGCGTTCGAGACGCTCGGCTCCGCTCCAGACAAAGTAATTCCCCCGCATTCGAAAATTTTTTGAATTATTCATCATCCGTTCCGGTATTTAAGAGCAGAATACATGTAAATCAAAACAGTATTCGTTGAAAATCTGTTGTCGATTTTTTTCCTTTCCGATATATAGAAAATATGAGGGTTATTTTGTGCTTTTTAGTCGTTTGTTTGACTGTATTCTCGGCGCATCGCGATGGTAAGCTTCCTAGTAGGGATTATAAGCTTTTAAATGCAATTTTCAATGCTTTGTTGTAAAACTATATAAAACGAAATATTTTGTGATATTCTATGGCAAAAAGTTTGAAGAACAGTTTATTTTAAATTATTCGAAACGTATAAAACGATATACAGGGTCCGGCAATTATGCGTCGGGCATCTGTAGCTCCTATAATAAAAAACGCCTGAAATGCCTGAAAAAAGTGTGAGTGGATGGGGATGATTTTTTTTAAATGGAACACCCTGTATATTATTGTATTTTTGGCGTCCTTTCAGATCACTTTACATAATTCTAAGACATGCGTAAATAAATTCCGAGTTTCAGAGATATTAATGAATGAATAAATAAATAAATTATATTTTCAGCCTTTTTAAAAAAAATATTAAAAATAAAGAACTGTCCTGAAATCACAACTATATTAGATATTTACTTACTTTGCTATAAATATGGTAAACGTAAATCATACAGGATGATCAAAATTCTACGGCAAACCGATATGTATAATTTTTTTTTGTTTTTTTAAGGTTCGGTACCCAAAAGGTAAAAACGGGAACCCTGTTACTAAGACTTTGTTGTCCGTCTGTCCGTCCGTCCGCCTGTCACAAAGGTCTATCTTATGAACCGTTATAGCTAGACAGTTGAAATTTTTACAGATAATGTATCTATATATGTTGCCGCTATAAGAACAAATACTAAAAACAGAATTAAATAAATGTTTATAAATAAAAAAGTACTTTCACTAAACATTATCTTTTAAGTAAGAATTTTACATAGAATTTTTCAAGTCCTCGTTGGCCGCGTTGTTAAAGCGTTAGGACTTTACGCTACTATGATGTTGGAGCCGTAGTAAGGCAGGTTCGAATCCTAGTCAAGGTGACTTTTTTTTAATCGTTTTTCTTTAATTTTACTTTGTTGCATTTAATTACTTTGTTGCCTCTTTATTTTTTGGTTGTCATTGTTAACTGAGTTTACAATTTTTGTTCATTACGTTCTATCGTGCGCTGCTTTTTCCACTTATTCTAGTTATGAATTGTAGACTTCCCACTTATTAGTTATGATTGTAGAAAACCCTGTCTTTTAATTTCCAGAACGCTCTTGAGGCGCTGCTAATTCTGTGCTGAATTTCAGAGTCGATATTGGCTTTTTCCGAAATCAAACTGCCGAGGTAATTGCGTTTAATACATATTCCAATAGTTCTTCTCCTATTTTTATAGCATTGTTATGATTTTCCGGGGGAGTGCACATGATTTTAGCATAGTTTAAGGAAAAGAGTAGTTGCACTCTCGCAAATATTTTCTACCAGTTTTTGCAAGCTGTCGAATATCGGCAGATTGCAAAGCGTTTAAGTTGAATTCCGTCCGTCGAGCTGCGAGGTTCGAGCGTTACGTCCCAGCACAGAGACGGATTGACAAAAAATGAGTGACTTACTGTGTGCTGCTATTAATTGTAGTAATAATTCAAAAAATTGTTCTTTGAGTTTTTTTAGATTTCCATCGGATATATATCGGCAAGCTGATAGTAATTATCAATTAACATTTAATTATATTTGTTTATTTTAGAAGATGAGATATTATGTAATTATTTTTTTAGCATGTGGGCAGGTTTTAAAAATAGTTTTTTAGATATACAGGTTGTCTCAAATATGCGCATGAAAATATTTTTTGGTCAGGGGATTTGCCATAAAATTTTCATTCCAATAATAATTTACGAGATAATTTATATAGATTGGTTTGTGAAACAATTTTAGAGTAAATATTTTGTACATCTAAAGTCCGCAAATTATTCATATTTTTTAATTGAAAGAATTTTATAATAGCATAATCTCTTATAAATTTAGTGGACTGTATTTTATTTTTTTTTTATTTATATTTTATTATAAGTGGTCGTAATATAACAATATTCAAAATATTATAGACAAAATACTGAGTTTATATTTGAGGGAAGAAAAGTGCCCACACCTTGCTTTAAACCACCGTAAATATACAGGGTGTCCCATTAGTGCGAGGAAGTCCAATATCGTCGTCGTTGTCGAAGATGTGAAAAAAGTTTTATTCATATGTTTCAAGGTTTATAAAGGGGCGTATCCTAAAATATTTTGTTATATACAGGTTGTCACATAAAAGTTATGGTAAAGTTAGTTTTATTTTTTTTAAATTATTTTACATCATTCTATATACATTATTCTATATAGGGTATTTTTTATGGCGTCACCAAAATCGGAATATTTAAAATGGTATATCTCAATTTTTTTAAATGCAACACTCTGTATATTATTTTTCTGTCAGATGCAGAATTAAAAAGTGAACATTTCTTTATCCAAAGTGTTTTTAAATTTTTGACGGCTCATATGGCTCTTTCAAGGGTAAATTTTTATCAAAGCCACCTAACATGATCTTTGTCTGATATTTATCGTTGAAAATCCCATATGTCATGAAATACAAAAAATATTTGCAAAACGGCTAAAAATTTAAGAACACTTTAAATACAAAAAATGCTCTTTTAATTCTACATCTGAAAGAAAAATAATATACAAGGTGTTGCATTTAAAAAAAATGAGATACAACATTTTAAATATAACGATTTTGGTGACGCCATAAAAAATATCCTGCATACGATAAAGCAAATTTTTCTACACGAATTTATTCTGGTATCCTTCGTCTTTAAGAAAACATACCTAAGTATTAATAAAGTTATATTCACTCAAGTTTTTTGCCACTTTTCGTATATAATGTTATAAAAAAAAGTTTTAGTAAATAAGAAATCCTACACACACCGGAAAAATCTAGGCATATCATTTTATTAAAGTTAAAAATAAATGTTTTGAATAAACAACCACATATTTGTAGACCGATTCTTTCTACTTCGATTGAAACGAAGTAGTCACACTAGTTATTTCTAAATTTGGGATATTTGCAGAAGTGTTTGTGCATTTTTTGTCATATGTATAAAAAGCACCTAGCATCAATTGTTCGAATTTAACCTGTACTGGCTATGTTTTTATGATAACTGGCCAGAATTCATTCAAATAATAATAATAATAATAATAATAGTCTAATAATTAAAAGGTCATATTCACACACTTGCTCAAAAAGCAGTAATTATTAAAACCACAAACATAACCCGCTCCTTCTTAAAACAATACAAACAAAACAATAGAAACTCTGACAGTACTTGGTAATTAACACCCGTCTGTCAGAATATACCACCAAGAGTGAGAAAAAAAAATAATAATAATAGTGTTTTATTGAAAAATATACAAATAAAAATAAAATACATTTTTTTTTCATTTTCCACAAAACTGACATTTTTTCAACAATAAAACACTGTTAAATAACTCTGTTTAATATTAAACGACATTATGGAGCGTAGACATCTTAACATAGACGAAATGCTAAGGGTCATGGGTATGCTCGAAGCTGGAATGTGCCAAATCGACGTATATAGCTAGAGCATTAAATACAACGCAAAGTGTAATATCGCGATTAAGTGCACGCTATCGTGACAGTGGTGATGTTGCTGAAAGGCACACAGGGCAACATCGCATTACTACCCCTCAGCAAGATCATTTTTTTTACAATTAAATGCTCGACGCCGACCGACTCTTACAGCACCAGAGCTTAGTTTAATTCTCCAGGAAACACATAATGTAACCGTTAGTCCTGATACTGTTCGCAATAGATTAAGAGAGGTCAACTTAAGAAGCAGACGCCCCTGGAGAGCTCAACCCTTAACGAGAGGAAATCGAGAGGTACGATATTTGTGGGCTCAAGATCATGTTCAGTGGTCGAATGTTCTCTTTACGGATGAGTCACGCTTTGGAATTCATCCGGATTCGAGAAGGCTTAGGGTATGGAGAGAACCGGGAAATCTTATTCGGTTGGATCATGTTCAGGAAGTGCACCCTTATCAAGGTCTGGGGAGGAGTCCAGTTAGGCCGAAAAACCGATCTCGTTTTTCCTGAAAGGTTTCTAACAGGAATCACATATCGTGATTTAATTCTTCAGCCTGTTGTGTTACCATATGCCAATGATTTTGGGAGAAACTTCATTCTCATGCATGACAATGCACGGCCTCATACAGCCAGAGTGGTAAGTGAGTTTATCAATGCTCATGAATTAAACATCTTACCCTGGCCGGCACAATCTTCTGACCTCAACCCCATCGAGCACGTATGGGACGCGGTCCAAAGAAGAATTTTGAGAATGGGTATGCCTCGTGAAACTCGTAGGGATCTGGTTCGGGCCGTGAATGCAGCGTGGCAGGCTGTACCTCAAGAAGAGATGGACAACCTGATCAGGAGCATGGAGAGACGATGTAGGGCTGTAATGAACAGTAGAGGAGGCCATACCCTTTATTAAGTAAAAATGGTTTTATCTTTTTTTTTTATTCACAGTTTAGAATAAAAAAAAATGTGTGTATTTTTTTGAGTTCAATAAAAATCAAGGTAAATTTGAGAAATTCGGTAAATTTTGCATTTTTATTTCCAATACGTCCTGTTTATCCAATTTATCCTTGTTTATTTTAATTTTATTATATCAGAAATGAAAATATTAAAATTACTGACGGATGGCGGGATAAATTGTAATTAAGGACTTAGACTTTTCCGGTGTGTGTAGAATGGCAACACCGCAGTGTGCTTTAAATAAAGACGGTGTACTATATGCAGAATTTTATTCCGAATCCAGTTATCTACAGAAAATTAAACTTGTTTTAAATAAAAAAAAAAAGTTGTAGAAAATCTCTGAAATAGATAATAATATAAAAATATGTCATTATATATTTTTCCGCATTTCTTCCCATCAACTCGATCATCAATTTTTTTATTTTATTTTATTGTGAACTCATATTTTACTAAATACATATCTGTGAAACTATGGCGAGTGCCACATCTATACTTTGCCTAGTTAATAGACCACGACTATACAGCTACGTCAGTGGTCACGGGAGGCGAGAACAAGGTCATATAAAGTTGCAAAAAA